CTTTGCCTTATAACAATAAAATAGTTAAAGCCATTATAGCTTACACCATATATCTCACGCCCAAAGGCAAAGGGGAAAGCCAACATAAAATTCAGGTACCTGATGTGATGATGGATACAACATATACTAGTTTCTTCTGTAGTTTGAATTTGAAATATGTTTTACATGTAGGATTAGAGGCTCAGTAGACAGTAATTTCACACTCTATTAATTGTTTGACATATAACCCCAATGCTATAGGAACCTCATTGAGAGTCTGATATTACTGACTACTACCAAAAACTCACACCTCTAACATGCTCTAGCTACAATAACTGGTTTTTTCAATATTTTCTACCGTTCATGTAGTCTTCCTTTCAGTAGCATGAGCCCAAAACAAATACAACACTCGTTTAAAAGAAAAATTAATTTTTCTTTTTCTTTTTGATATACCGACCCTAATTATCTCTTTGAGGCAACTCGACCCCCCGGGTATTCCCACAAGCTTCTACTCTTTGAGTCGACTATGAGACTAATCCCAAGTCGGGAAAGCTCGTTGGTGGGAATCGAAAAGAGAAATGAATTTTAATGTAGCAAGCATGAATCCAAAGTCAAAACTTCAACCTATAGAAAATTAGAACTTAATCAAAATCCGAATATGGCATAATGATAAATGAACCTACACCTTACTCATCCCACCAAACTCTCCCATATCTTTAAAACAATTTGGTATAGCATCATCAAGAGATCTATAACAATACAATGTTAAGTCATAAGACAAATGAAATAACAAAAGTAAATTCCATACAACTAGGAGGATGAAAATTGAAGACTCTTACAAAGGTGTGAATAACAAACATGCTAATAATATGCCATATCCATCTCACAATTCTAATTTGGAAAATAGAATTGCAAAACATGGGACTCATTAGTCACTAAAGACCATTAACAGCTGCAACCCCCCAAAATCAACCCTTTTCACTCATAGAAAACATGGGTCATCTTGATTCAATGACATTGATTACTACAAAATCCTAAAATTCATAAAAATAAAATAAAAAAAATGCTAACTACACAGAAAATGAACTGCTTAAACGAAAAGAGAGATCAAATCCCAACAAAAATAACTGATTCAGAAACAAATCTATAAAGGAAGAAAGGTCATTAAGAATGAAACAGAAAACTGAAAAAAAAAAAGATTTGATTAAAAAAATGAAAATTTGTTGCATTCATCACTTGAGAAAAGAGGGGAAAAAAAGAGTGCAGGGAATAAAATCACAACGAGAGATATAGAAAGAAGAAGAAGAAGATGAAGAGAAGGGGAAAGCTAACCTGTGCTGAGAAGAGGAGTATTAAACGGTGTCGCTCCGCCTGAACCCAGAACAATAGCGTTGTGTTGTGGTGGCAGCTAATGAGAAAGAGGAGGAAATAAAGTGAGAGAATTGAGCATAAAAGAGAGAGCGGAACGGAACGGAAGTTCTCAGAACAATCCAGACATACCAATTATGTTTCCAAGCCCAACGCAAAAACACGGGCCCTATAATTCATTGTTACTTGGGAATGATGCACGGATACGGACTCGGGACACGACACGACATGTCGACACGTTAATTCTAAAAAATGTCATATTTGGACACGTTGGGACACGTTTAGATATTAAATGAAAATTTTAATATATATAATATGATTTATATTTAAAACATATAAGAATCCATTATAAGTCAACCAATCAAATATTTACATTTCATAACATAAATATAAATAAAAATAATTTTTCGTACTTTGTTAATTTTTAATGTCAAATTTCATAAATGAAAAAATTAATTTATAAATTATTTCTTTTATATTTAATTAACAAAATAAAATTAAGATTTAAAAAAAAAAATGTGTCCGAGCGTGTCCCCAAATGTTGACTGCGTGTCCCTAAATATTGACCACGTGTCGGAACGTGTCGGAGAGTTGACCGCGTGTCCCTAAATGTTGACCGCGTGTCGGACGCGTGTCCGAGCGTGTCGAAACGTATCTGTGTTGGACACGTGTCCGACACGCAAATTTTACAAAATTTTACGTGTCCGTGCAACGGAGGGCCAAGCTAGGTCCGTTTCGTAAGCTTATTTCAAATTAAAATTTTAACACACGCAGATATTTCATGAAGCATAAAATTAATATTTATATAGGTTCGCTTTTTCTGCTGTTAATGCATATAAGTTATCCATAATAAGTCTAATAAGACGTTGTTTTGGGACAAAAATCATGGTATTTTTATAATTTTAATTTATTTCAGGGTTATTATTGTCTTTATAATTATAATTTTTTAATCTTTCAATCTTAAAATAACATTATTTTAAAAATAAATTCAGATAACTTATTTACATTAACTGCAGAAATATTTTTCTCTATTTATATTCATGTGAAACTTAACTACTAGTATTGACATGGAGTACAATTATATAACGTCATAAGTAAAATTATATCCTAAAATGAAGACTTCAGAAGAATTTTAGTCAAATTCATGGAAATTTATGAACACTATATGCATGACATAAATCTAAATATGAACTTGTGTAAAATCCAAAATCCAAATATTACTGACTCCGTTAGACCTTTGGATTGGCTTTAATATTTTTTTCACAAAAATAACTTCTTGAATATAAAATTCTCTAGGCAGCAGTTTTTCTTTGATAAAAAAGTTTCAACGTACACAGATGCGTCCGTATCCAAACACACGAATCAGTGCTAATATGAAAGCAACTCATTTGCTTACCTTAACTCTTTTACTTTTATATTTTGGGAAATAATAGAGAAGGTGGCCACAGTATTATCAGTTAGGGTGTCAATAACAAATTTGAAATCTCAAAAGACAAATTAGGAGTTCATGCAGATAACTATCTTTAGATCTTGTAACTTTTTTTTTTTCTCTATAAAAATTCTCTAACCTTACAAGTCAAAAGATATTCTTAGAAAAAGTTATTCACAATCACAAAACTTTTAAATGATTTTGAAGAGTCTCCAATCCATATTAAAAAAATAAAAATAAAAAATATGTTTTGACCCATTTAAAAGTAAGAAAGAAATATTTTATCAAATTGATTCAAAATCTAATTATTTTGCACATTCAAATCACATTATGAAAAAAATTATGCGATTTGTGCACAAATGAATCCGTGCTTCATAACGTGCACTACACTTATGAGCAACTTGAAAGCGTAGACCCATACGCGACTTGCCACGCCCACCATGTGACACCCATGCGTAAATAAAAAAATATATATATATATATATATATGAGATCTATTTATATCATGTTGCATGAGATAATTATCTCATGCAACAGAAACAATATAATAGGATCTATTATTATTTTTTTAAAAGAAAAAAAGAAAAAAAAGTGAACCCCGTTACTTTATCTCATATAATATGAGATAATTATCTCCCTATATATATATATAAGGAAAATGTTTCTGCAGATAATTTATCTGCATTTTTCACAAAACGACGTCGTTTTGGTATTGAAATCTTAAAAAATTATAAATACAAAAACTATTATAACTCTGAAATAAATTAAAATTACAAAAATATCATGATTTCAGCCCCAAAATGACGTCATATTGGGCTTATTGCAGATAACTTATCTACAGTAACTGCAGAAAAAGCGAACACTATATATATATATATATATATATATATATATATATATATATATATATATATATATATATAGGTAATATTTTTCTTATGCTATTAAAGAAAGTTTATCTCATGCCATAGACTATTCAAAATTTGAGCCATCAATTTCTTTTTCTTTTTTTTCTCTTTTCTTTATAGTGTGGGACCTATTTGAAAATGTCTTTGCAGGAGATACTCTTATCTTCAATGACATAAGAAAAGATAATCGGAATAGTGACCAAAATCCCACCTTTTGGCAAAAAATTTATCCAAATGACACGCGAATAGTACTTTTTATCAGACTGTCACGTAAGCATAATTCGCTACGACTGGTAGCAAATTATGTCCACCAATATTTTTTGACATGTGGCACACTTTCGCAGAAAAAAAAGCTGACGTGTCATAATTCGCTACCACTGGTAGCGAATTTGGTCTGCAATATGACCACGTGTCACGAAATCATTGCCCACGAAATTCGCTACTAGTGATAGCGAATTATGACACGTGACAGTCTGATAAAAAATATTGTTTTCGTGACATTTGGGTAAAATTTTTGGCTAAACGTGGCATTTTAGTCACTGTTCCAAGATAATCTATATATATATATATATAGGGTAATAGTTTTCTCATGTAGTAGATAATAATTATCTCCTAATTACTCATTTGTATAAGTAGGGTCCACTTTTAAGGGAAGAGAAAAAAAATAAAGTGGGACCCATATTGAATTTGTGTGTGTAGGAGATAAATTTTTTCTTATGTAACTTAAAAATAATAAATCTCATATATATATATATCCTCCCTCTGTATGAGGAGGGATATTCTTATTACCAAAATTTTTTACTACCAACTCACTATCTATCTAATTACCATTGGATCAACATTTTCTCTTTTTTCAAAAACTTTTTAGCATCCTCTCTTTGATTCAATGGTGATTAGATAGGTAATAAATTAGTAATAGAAAATTTTAGTAGTAAGAATATTCTTCCTGTCTATATATATCAAAATTGAATCCTTAACCTCTTAAACCTACCCAAGTAACCATGATTCCATGAACATCCCTGTTGAACACTTTTTAGAGTACAGGAGGGACCAAACCCCAGTCACCAATCTAAGGGCGTACAGTGGCCCCCACGACCAACACTTGACAAACCCACCTTTCAGCAGGGGGGCCGTATGGACACTTGTCGACTTGTACATATTTTGGTCCCCCCCACCACCACTGTACCATACCATCATATAATACAATATTATTATTATTTTATTTTATTTTATTTATATTATATGGTTTGAGGGCCTCCAATCTTGAATAAATAATGAACATCATATGATGAATGACGAATGTGTATATGCTTCACACAACAATGAACAACTTGGAGTCCTATCCTCCCATTCTCCGCCACCCACACCACCACTATCAACCACCTAACCCAGACCCGGTTAACAATAATGACCCGATCCAGGATCCGGATCCTGTGCCAGTCATAGATCTTCAGTGCTTAGACCAAGACAAGAACAAGTTCGATGAGGCTTGTAAGGATTGGGGGCTGTTCCGTTTGGTCAACCATGGGGTTCCATTAACCCTTTTGAAACAGCTTCAAGACTTAGCCAAAGAACTATTCTCTATGTCCTTTGAATCTAAACAAGATGCATGCACTGCAAGCCCCGTCGCATACTTTTGGGGTACCCCTGCCCTAACTCCATCTGGAACAGCCTTAACAGGAGATATCAATTTGGTTGAAGGTTTCAACGTGCCATTGAGTCAACTCTCTCACTTCCACTCTCAACTTGCCACGCTTGAGTCCATAAGGTAAGCACAAAAATTGGCCATCATTATTTATTATTATTTGTCTTCTTCATCATTTTTCTATGCATTTTTCCCTTTGTTTATTATTTTTTGTTTCTTTCTTGGAAAACCTTTGTGTCTATTTAATTAAAAAAAAATAATGCAACTAATTCAATTCAACAACTTAAGTTTATAAATAACATTTATATTAATAATTTTATATTAAAATTCTCAAAAATACATTAGTTACTTTTTTTTTTAGAGTATGCGTTTGCTTGGTGTGCAATAATGGCACTGCATGAAGGTTGCTTCGACGAATTGGATAAGTGCAATTCCATGGAGATTGATTATCTGATTTGATAGACGTGAAGTTTCCTTGTTTAGATGTGAAATACCAACAAAAATTGGACAAAATAAAGAGACCGATTATAGGAACATTACTTTCAGTCACATCTGTTTACATGTTTTCATTTGAAAGCAATTAAGGTATTAGTCTCATCACTTAAATTATTGTACATGTAGGCACAAATGCTACCATATGGGTAGAGCTAGGTGAAGAAAGTGATTTTAAAGTCTTTTTGCTAAAAAGATGATAAGCAACATAGGGTTTGCCTAATCTAATTGGTCCAAGTTCAACCTAATAAATTATGAGTGGGGATGACAAAAAGAAAGGAGAAAATCCTTTTTATGGAACAAGTTTGACTAAACGTTAATTTTATTTTATTTTTGCTAAATTTTGTATTGTGTAAAAATTGACAAATATGGAAAAGGTACTTTAGGATAGGATAAGTTTTTTTTTCCCTTATTCCGGGTGTGAGATGTGAATAAATGTTTTTTTTTATGGATGTAAAAAATATTTAATTTTTTATAATCTAAATTAATTAATTAATTGAAGACCAACAAGACTAAGTGGTACGGTACAGTTTTTCATTTCATAATTCCTTATATATTTATTGTAAAAAACCATCTAAAATCAAAACCTTAGAGTAATATAAATATCATTAAAAAGGTCATCACCCAACACCTTACGATTTTGAGTTGAAATAGTTCTTTACATGATATTAGAGTCTCACTGATCATAAGATCACGAATTTGATTCTCACCTCCGACACATTAAGATTTTGGGTCGAGATTGTTTTTTACATATATATTGAATACAAAACAAATAGGCAAAGCTTAGTAATTATATATCTATCTTTATCATCCCTTCAAATTGCAGGCCATTGTTTAATTGAAGGTCAAGTTTGAATCATATCATAAAAAAATTAGCCGAGTTAATAGTTTGGTAAAAATGTCCTATGAATTATAACATCCTTTTTAGAAATTGTCTTGACAACGAGGACAAGATATATGGCCTTAAAGTACCTGATATAATTAGTTATGAAAGGTATTTTGACATGTCAACCAATCTTCATATGACGTTTAAACGTTTATGGCCGGACTGATATGGTTCCGTAAAAATCACTTGAGTTATGCTTGAATAAGATGATTGGACATGTATCTGTAATCTGGTGAAAGTCTATATAGGTTGGGATCAAATGAACCTAATGTTTTAAAAAATCAAACATTTTAAAATTTCATGTGGTTTATGAAAATTCCGTGTTTATCTCTTTTTTTTATTGACATTAAATAAGTGGTGTCCAACATTTTGACATGACTAGATGATGTGAAATTTTAACATGAAAGAATCCATTTTAAAATTGATTCAACGTGATTAAATTATAACTCAGTTGAAGCACTAGAGCTTAGTAAATGGGGTGAGAGCATGTGCTCAATTCTGAATCCGTCCCGAACAAGATTGCAGATATATGTGGTTTATCAAAAAGAAAAAAAAATGAATTGATTCAACATGTCGAATCACTGAATTGATTATGTATCCGATTGTAAGCCAATCATGTAATTTGTGCTCAAAGTTGATTAACAAGGCGTGTGTGTTTGCTTTTCAAGACTTCTACTAATGGACTACGGAACCCATCTATCAAGAATCGCTTCAACTTTGTTCGAAGCTATGGTGAAGAAACTTGACTTGAATATGAAACCCTCAAACTCTTATCTATCAAAGAACACAGGAATGGTGCGTATCTATCGCTACCCACATTGTTGTGATACAAATGTTGGTTGGGGCATGGAGGCGCATACAGATAGCTCAGTCTTGTCCATATTAAACCAAGATGATGAAGTGAGTGGACTTCAGGTGCTAAAAGATGATCAATGGCTAACTGTAAAGCCCATTTCCAACACATTGATTGTCAACCTTGGAGACATGATGCAGGTTCAAATCCTATTATTATTATATTATTATTATTATTATTATTATTTTTTTTTTTATATATATATATATATATATATATATATATATATATATATATGGATTTAATGTTTCTACGGTGAATGTAGATAAGTTATCTACATTCACTCTCAAAACGACGTCGTTTTGGGTTGAAAAATTAAAAAATTATAATTAGGTAGACTATTATAACCCTGAAATAAATTATAATTACAAAAATACCTTGATTTTCGCTCCAAAATAACGTCATTTTTGGCTCAATGTAGATAACTTATCTATTTATCTACATTGACTGCAGAAAAATGAATATATATATATATATATATATATATATATATATATATATATATATATATATAATACTCTTTTCAATTATGCAGAATAAAACTGCGTACAAGGATTATTTTCACCCCACACTCGCTAGCATAATGCATAATTGCAAAGAGGGTTATATATATCAGTGAAAAGTGTTATTCTTATAGTGATATTAATAATGAATTGTATTTTGAAGTGATTCTTCGGAATGGATATTTTGTTTTAGGCAATAAGCAATGACATATACAAGAGTGTGTCACACAGAGTGAAGGTGGACAATCATAAAGAGAGGATCTCAATATGCTACTTTGTATTCCCTGATGAAGACGTTGTAATTGAGAGCTCAAAGTACAAGCCCTTTACCTACAATGAGTTCAGAGCACAAGTGCAACAAGATGTCAAGGTCCTTGGCTATAAAGTTGGGCTTGCAAGATTTCAACTCAATTAAGGGAACTTGTATTGGATTGAGATTTCAAAGGATTTTAATGGATTGTTTTTGGACAAAAAAATCCGATGGTATTCGATTAGGATTTTAATGGATTGAAAAAAAGTCACGTGGTATTCGATTAGGATTTTAAAGGATTATTTTAGAATCCGTCCAAATCTGTTGGTATTCAATTAGGATTTTAAACAATGGAATCACAATCTCGTGGTATTCAAAAATCCAATGATTTTAATGAATTTTGTATTGGTGTAGATTTTGTGAGACTTTTTAGTGAAAAATATAAATAAGATGTCTCTCTCACAATCTTACCACAACCCCTAGGATTTATTGAGATTCTTCTATTGTAGTGTTTTCTTCTTCCTTTGGTAGGTTGACTTCTCGAAATTGGGTTCCGTCATGAGAGCTTCGTCCAAACTAAAAAAAATAGCATATTTTTGAGCGATTTTCATCGCAAAATAACCCAGAAACAACAAACCAACGAGATTTTAATATAATATATCTCAAAAATAACATATTTTGAGCCATTTTTGAGAAATTTTGGAAGTTTAAAAAGTGATTTTTCAAGCTATGAGTCGCGATTTTTCTTGGCACAAAAATATGCTTTTTGTATTAAAAATAACATAAATCAGTGAAAAAATAACATGGGAACTTTCGTATTATTTTTGTTTTACATCAATGAAACAATATCAATTTAAAGAAAGATTGAAACTTTCATAATATGAACCCTATATTTCGTAACAATACGTTCATGAACGAAATTCCTTCAATATAGGAAACGATTTCAAACAATTTTTGTGTCAATAGATAACTAAAAGCTTGTTTCTCAAAAGCCCCAAAGCAATTTAAGGTTTCAATGTATCGATTGAAAAAAATTTAAGAAATTTTCTAAAATTTCATGTAATTAAACCCAAAATTTCAGATTCAAAATTTTCTTAATATTCAATGAAAATATGCATATGATATATGGTTAGAAAATTAATTGCACAAAATTCCAAACGAAATTTTATCATGAACTTTAGGTTCTATATGCAAATTTAGAATTATTTTTATAATTAAAAAAAATTGGGTCTTATAATCATATATGCATAGCTTTGATACCAAATGAAGAAGATGATTTTCAACCCATTAGATATGTGAAAAGATGTTTTTTAGTAATTTTAAATGTTTGTTAAAAATTATATTAATGTTTGGGGCAGGATATACTTACCACCAAAAATGTTTACCATATTTACAACCAACCTAATCACCATTGATTTCCTTCAATCTAACGGTTATAATTTATTGGGAATTAATAAATACGACCTAATAATTTTCAATAAATTATAACCGTTAGATTGACGGAAATCAATGGTGATTTAGTTAGTTGTAAAGGTTTTAAACTTTTTTTGTGGTAAGTATAACCTTTTAAAATGTTGTAAACAAAAATAGGTTGTAAGTATAACCTTTTCCTTTTGTATTGACTCTTATAATTAGAAATGTTTGTTAAAAGTTTATATGGTTTTTTAAAATCTTATAAATCCATATTGTCCTTTCAAATCTTATGAATTCTATTAAAATCCAATCCTATGAAATTTTGATTGTAAAAAAAGTCTTTTAAAAAAGTCTATAAAGTCTCTCCAATTCCAAAATGTCATTTAAAATCTGTATGATTTTTTATCTCAAAAAAATCTTTTAAAATCCTAATTCAATATACCCCCTAAGACTGTTGAGCTTTATTGGCTCTAACTCATCTCCACTCTTGTTTGTTGCGAGCAAGTTTTAAATTGGAATAAATGCTAAAGTGTTAGTTGGGAAAAATGGGTGTTTATCTATAAATCAATATCTAGTTTATATAAAAAAAATTTTATCACAAGTTAATATTAATCTAATAATAATATCTTAATTTATAAAAGTAAAATACATTCTAATGTATTACATTCATTGTGGTAAGAAATTTCATCCGATACTAGTGTAATTTATACTCTCAATTTTAGTCGTAGATCACACTTATATCTAATGGCTCAAATATATTAATTATGTGAGCTATTAAATATAAGTAGATTAATAATTAAAATTTCACACCAGTATAAATTCATATTGTCCATATATATAAGTTTTTTTTAATCTAACCCAGAATCTGTAATATTCAAAAAATAATAATAATAATAAAAAAAATAGCATAAAAGAAGACGCAAGGGCGGCGCCTTTTGCGCCAACTCTCTAATAAATAAAGCGCTCACTTAGCGCAAAGAGCGTGGACGTATATACATACATACATATATACATATATATATATATAATTATAATTATAATAATAAAAAGAAATAATAAGTAATTAAATATTTAAAACAAAAAAATAATGTATAATATGTTGATAATAAAATAAATAATAATATAATAACTGATGAATAAATGAATACATGTATAAATAAACTACAGAAAGTAAATAAAACATTATACATATAAACATATAACGTGGAAGCACCTGATAAACGCTTACGAAAATTTTTCTAGAAACATTTACGTTGATGATTACGTGGTTAGTTATCTGTAAAGTAATGAATTACTTAGTTACATTTTAACTAGTTTTGTTGAAAGTTAACAAAATACAATTCGAACGTAAGCAAGTCTCTTTGTGTGTGTGTGGTTATCCATAAGAGGAAATAAAAGAAGAAAACAGCGAGAAGAGAAAGAGAGAGAGAGAGAGAGAGAGAGAGAGAGAGAGAGAGAGAGAAATATCAAAAGAAGGGAGGAAAGTGACGAAGCATAAGGTAATATTGGGTGGACAAAAAATTCTCTCGTTTTTCTTATTCTTCAAACAATGATGAACTTTCATGCTATTGTCGTCTGGTTAAATTCTTCCCCTTAAATATTCTTTGAATTTATTTTGTTACAGTAGTTTGATTTTATTCAATGATTTCATTCTTCTACAGTTCCTTCATTTTCTTTTAAATTTAGTTTTTGATTGTCTGGTTGGGTCGTTATTTGGTACCCAGTGGCGGACGCAGGAATTTTAATAACGGGGGGTGAAAATAAAAAATATTATATTATAAACAAAAATATTTGAAATATAATACAGACCTAATATAAAAAAATTAAAAGAAATCTATTACAAAGATTAAAATCACTTTATTTGACTCTTATTTTACGTATTTTCTTATTGTTAAACTCATATATAATTGAATTCATGTTAAAACTCAAAATAATTTCTTTTTTAATGTATGTAATCAAAGAATCATCAAGAAATTGGTCTTCTATTTTATTTCGAAGCTTGTTCTTGATTTTATTTTACGCATGCGGATCCTAACTTTCTTCTTTCTTTTAAATGTCAGAATCCGCATGTGTAAATATGTTTGCTACAAAAAATTGATATGCTATTGCTGCAGAAGAGACGAACCTATAAATAAATCATGTTATCCATTATTAATAAATTAGATACCCACAAAGTTATATGTGTCATTTCATTCTTTTTATAGCTAGAATTGTTGAAAATTTAAAGAGATTAAGAATAATTTAGAAGAACACACTACATTAATTTTTTAATCTAATCACGTGTTTGATAGGAGGTGAAAAAAAAATTTCCTAAGAAAATGGGGTTGAGAAATTATTTGCCTATGTTTGATAGGAGATGAAGTAAAAATATGGCTAGAACATTTTTTTTTCCATCATTTGCTTTTCTATGTAAAATAGTTGGAGAAGATTACTATTGAAGAGTGAACATGTACTTGAAGAGTGTTTCAAGATTGAGTCCTACGCCCCCTTCAATGAAAATGATTGTGCTTCCACTTCAGCTGTCTTCTCTTGCAATGGCAAGCTGGACAATTTTCAAAAGTTTGATTTGAGCCGTTGAAAACTTGTGCTTCCTCTTCACGCTCACTCATGTAAGTAATTTACCCACTCACACACATTTTGTAATATTATTAAAATACCTATATATATATATATATATAATTTTTTCTATCAAATTTTAAGGGGGGTGGGGGCCCACCCTAGCCCCCTTAGGTCCGCCCCTGTTGGTACCAAATAATTATGAAGAGAATGTGTAAATTTAACTAATGAAGACTGCTATCAACTGAACCACAGAGTTTGGGTTCAGACAATTATAGGATAAGGGACACCTTATCGTGGTTTGAGCTCCTCCACAAGATCTTTCATATGTAGAGAACCACAAAGTTAGAAATTATTTAGCTTCAATTAAATATTACACAATGCATTATTTATTATATTACTTCATTTTATTAAATTATCTGAAAGAATGGTATTTTCCGTTATTACGACTGAAAATGGTAATAGTTAGAAAACCTTAATATTATAGAGAATTTTCTCACGCGTTTTTGTTTATGCTAACCTTTCTAGAAAATCATAATGCCTAGTCTAAGCTTATTAGGTGAAGGATGGAGTATCAATGTTTACTCTTACGAGGACTGCATGGAGTTTTATATTGTAGTAGAAAATCAAGGAGCTACTGCAATATTCTATGCTGAAAGTGTGGAAACCTACACCTATATAGTAGATTAGGATAAGACTTTTGTATTGTATAATTATGTGATGCCAGTATGTAAAATATAAATTGAAGTGATGTAATATTTAGTAGACTGTAGGACCAATGTAAAATAATTTTCGTATGTACCTGACTTAATATCATCTATAAAGTAATGTTGGTAGATGTTTATATAGTTCCCTTTTTAATTGTTCTTGTCATCAATAGTAAAATTTAATAATCAATCTATATTAATTAATAACATTAACTTCTTTCCATCTTACTTCTCACTGATTATGCATAAAGAGAAAACATAATATATAAAAGAAATCACGTAATATTCCTTATAAAAGTTAATATTAAGGGATGTTACATTTTATGGTATGAGAGCAGCGGTTCAGGTAAATAAAGGACCTAAACTACTATAATTGTTGGGTATTTTGTCAAAGATCATGCATATTTTGAGTTATTTTAATGAGCCTGATCAACTCACTATTATACAACAATATATGTAGATCTATGGCAAATACAAGGCAGACATCTTCAACTTCTGAACCAAAAGTTAACCCAGTAACTGATGCGTTTACCCGGGTGGCAGAAGCTCTTAGAGAACAGGCTGTAACTAATCAGCAAATTATTCAGGAGTTGA